GTATATAATTGGTTCCACCACTTTTCTGTCAGTTTGCTGTACTGCGGTGGCTTGTGTGTTGGTCTGATACTGGAAGCTATGCCACTAGTATTGCAAATACCAATAGGATCAAGACAAGCTAAGAAGCAGGACTGGCTATTCATTTCTGAAGTAACAGGCCCTCCAAAACAGTGAATAGCTGCAGCACATTGTCTCACAGAGTGCCACAAGATTATGCCGGTAGGTCAGAAAGCACTCAAAGTATGACTGGGGCAGAACTGCTTCAGTAGAGTCTATGTTAATGATATCGATAGAGTATAGCTTTCACCTAGTGAAGGGCGTTCTTTTACTGATTAACATACATTAATAATTTGAATGTGGAATGTACAAAGTATGAACCTAAGAAAATAGAAAGTTATAAAAAATGAACCATTTTATAAAGTAACATACCAATGGCGGTCAAAGAGGAAGTCCAAGCTGCACGAAAGGTATCAGCAAAAATAAGCCTCCAGGAACTGATGGAATGCCAGTTGAGGTGTTTCTGCAAACAGATGCAGTCTATGCCAAGAAATTTGGATGACAGCTTTTTGGCCAACTGACTGGAAAAGATCCATATTTGTGCTCATTTTAGAAAAAAATGATCTGACAGAATGCAGTAATTTCACATGCACATGAAGTCTTGCTGAGAATTAGTAAAAAAATACCTGGAGCACTAAATATGCAGAGGACTGCTGGAAATGGAAACTGGATTCATAAGAGACTGAATTGGAAGGAGGACTCTCACTGCAGATGTCAGATGGATCTTGGCTGAAAGCAGAGACTACCGCAAAGATGTCTGCTTGCATTTTATTGACTATGCAGAGGCATTCAATTGTGTGGGTCGTGAAAAGAATGGGTAACACTGAGAAGAATGAAAATTTCAGAGCACTTAAATTGTGCTTATGTAGAACCTGTACATAGTTCAAGATGTAATCATTTGAACAGATGGATTCTGCATGGTTGAAAATCAGGAAAAGTGTTCATCAAGGGTGTATCCTTTCACTGTACTTATTCAATCTGGCTGCTGAGTAAATAATTGGAGCTCTGGTGGCCTGGTCAGTAGGGGGTTGCACTAGTAACCTGAAGGCCATACCTCTTTGGTGGTTTCAATCTGCCAGCAGCTTTGTAGGGAAAGATGGGCAATCACCTCCCCTGTGATTTATAATAGTCTCTGAAATCCAATGGAAGATCAATTATGAATTTGTTATAACCTATAATGAGTGTAAGATTTTATTTTTATTTTTTTTAGTATATGAAGAAGAATGTGGCACTGTTATAAAATCAAGAGGATTATGGGGCAATGGAAGCAGGGAGAGATGGGGAGAACATAAAGAGAACAGACAGATAAAAAACATGGCATTATTGGAATAGGTGGTTATTGTTGTTAATTGTTATGTGCCATTGAGTCACCTGCAACTCATAGCAACCCTATGTACAACATCTCTGAAGCCTATCTTGTCCTGAGACAGTCTCACTGACTCCGACACACCTACCTCCATTGCCCCAGTTACTGTATTAATTCATCTCATTTTCCTTTCCTGTGTTGGAGATATCCTTCTCCAAGGATTAGTCCCTCCTGGCCACCTGCCCAAAGTATGTGAGGCAGAGCTTCAAAATCCTAGCCTCCAAGGGGAATCTTGGTTTCACCCTCTCCAAGACAGATTTATTTGTTTTCTTGGCAGTCCATGGTATGTTTAACATTTTTCTCCAGCACCACTCAAAGGCATCGACTCGTCTTCTTTGATCCTTAATCATTGTCCAGCTCTCTGACAATTGTGAAGAACATGGCCTGGATCACAGGTACTTTAGTCTCTAGATTGACGTTGTTGACTCTCAGTACTCTGGAGAGGTCTCTGACAGCAGATTTTCTCAATGCAATTAATCTTTTGATTTCCTGACTGCTGGTGCCAAGAGTGTTGATTGTGGAGTTAAGCAAGATATAATTATTAACAACCTCAATCTCTTCTCCATCTATCATGGTGCTGCCAATTGGCCAAGTGGTGAGAATCTTTGTCTTCTTGATGTTGAGCTTCAATCCATATTGAAGACTACAGTCCTTGACGTTCTGCAGCAAGTGCTTCCGGTCCTCTTCAGTTTCAGCAAACAAGGAGGAAGGTAATTCTGAAAAGAAGGGGTGATAAAAGATGATGAGCAATGTAACTAGTGAGTTGATTCAGGACATGTATGAGGGAAAGAAGGGGAGAAATCTATTCAAATGAGTGAATGAAAAGAATGTTTTATACTTGTTACTAATTTATTAATATACTTTATTATTATTATCCCCCCTTTTTTTAAACAAATGAATGATTGAAATCTTTTTATAACCTTTGGGACTATGCACTGTGTATTTCTAAAAGGACGTCAGAGCGGGTGATGTATTTGAACTTATTTGACAACGGGCCCCTTTTCCTGTAGAGCATCTCAGAGGTCAGAGTTCTGCAGAACTGCACTGGGCATTATCATTCCTTTGGCTCCAATACTCCCTTCTCATCAAAGACCTAGCACTCTCAGCCTGGAGAAGGAGACTCATAAAATTTTTGTGCTGTTCTATAAGAGTTCTGTATATTTGTTTTAGGGCTATGACTTCACACTCAGGATCTCAGGAGACGTGGCTGGAAGCAAGAATCTCTCTCACCTATCTATGGACTTCTAGCAAGTCACTTTGCCTCTTGGAGCCTCTATTTCCTCAACTATAAAATGGGGACAAGAAAAACACTATAAAATGGGGAAAAGAACAACTTTTATTTTTTATTTTAATTCCCCCCCCCTCCCCAGTGGCTGTTGGGATAATCCAGTGAGATCTGAAAAGGCTTTGTCAAAAGTACTATGATGTTAATTGTTCTTATACTTCTGGCCCTGGGGAAGGGATTGGAGCACCAAGATCCTTTGTGGTTAGACAACTCAGAACCCCTTAATTATGGGTATAGAATTGTTGTTCCTATTCTTTGTTTCTTAACGGTAAATCCTTTCCCAGACCCTCCTATCTGGTCAGAAAAACAGATCCCAGGTAGGGCTTGGTGTGCATGACAACTGTTTGATCAATCTCCCCCTTTCACCTCTGAGGAGCAGGCTTCCTCCTTCTGCCTTATAAGGGGAGTGACTCACATCAGGCCTGGCCAGCTGGTGGCTACAATCTTTGTGAAGGTCCAACCGCACCCTTTCAGGGCTGGTCTAGTGTCACATCTTCTTCCCCCTTTGGACTCCCAGGACCTACTTGCCTTCTTTTTAGAATTGAGTTGCTATAAACTTGTGCCCTAAGCTGTCCTTCCTCAGGGGCAAGGGTACCTGACAACTGTATTAGAGGGTGTGTGTGTGTGTGTGTTTTTCCTTGGTTAACTTGACGGCTGGAAGAAAGTTTTGTTTGTTTCTCAGAGGCTGGAGCCAAGTCTTTCCTTTTTTTAATGAAGGGCAAGTCTTCATTTAGTCACAGAAGGCTCAGGTTAGAGAAGGTTGAGGTGGGCACCACTCATTTCACAGCAGGGAAAACCGAGGTCTGGGGATGGAGAGTGACTAGCCCATCTCTCAACACCTCCTGACAATGGGCAAGGGCTCTGACATAGGGCAGAGAGGAATCCTGGGGAAAATTCCGAGGAGTGAGGAGGCTGCTGAGAACAGGACCTGGGTGACTTTATTGTAGAGGAATGGGGGAGATTGGCCAGATAGTTGCTAGGTATACCCACCCCCGGCTAGGATCTGTTTTTCGGGCCAGATAGCAGAGTCTGGGAAGGGGAATTATGCTGAAGATAAGGTTCAGTTTCCTGTGGTATCTGGCAGGGGGTTGGGACTCGGGTGAGACTCTGAAGGATGGATAAAGGGGAAAGTGGACCACTGAACTGAACAGAGCTGGGGCTGTGTGGAGGAGAAGGACTCTTTCTCCACTCTTTATCAAAACTCTTCACCCCTGGAGGAACACTTCTGCATGCTCCTTCAGCTTCTTCATTCATTCATTCAGACGCTGCCTTTAGGGGCCAACTCATTGCATCCAGTTCACATCCCTCTCCAAGGCACTCCCAGGGAGGGCAGGGGCCATGCTAAATGCCTCAGGAGCACGTTAGTCACCTCCCTTGGGTTCACAGTCCTCATCATGGGAATGCTCATGAAGCTTGCTAACTGGGCATTGATAAAGCTTGCTTTTTAGGCTGGAGAGTAGAGGGCTGTCTGGCTGGGGTGAGAATATCTGAGTGGGGGTGTCAGCACCCAGATGAGTCAGGACTGAATCTGGGGTTTTGTGAAGGTCCAGTTTACAGCTGCCTGAACCGCTCTTTGTAGCTGTTGTGGGCAGAGACAATTGTTACCTTGGGGCCTTGAATGGGTGCAGTAGGGTGGGGCTGCTTTGTCTTGGGGAGGACCGGAACAAGCAGCTCCCAGCACCTGTACCTGGAAACCATGCCTTTGTCAGAAAGAATTGACGAATTGGCTGGGAGTCAAGGGAGGGGGATCTGACTGCAAATTCCCAGTGTGGGGGACTCAGGTGAAGGTACTTCTGGTTGAGTCATGGGGTAGAAGGTTTAATTTTGACCCCACAAGGAAGGGAGGGGTTCAGAACATGATTGGGAGGCCCTCTGTGTCCTCCCTGGGAGGCAGTGTGGTTATAACAGAAGGATGTCACATCGTGGGTGTCTAAATATTAACTGGGGGGTGGTGGCCGCAGTGAGGGGAAGAGAGATGGGAGTAGGGATCCAGAGAGTGTGTGGGGGAGGGTGCGTGTCCACTCCCCTAGCTGGGTAGGTAGGGACAGCTCTTTGAGAAAGCAGGAGCCTGACTTCCTGGGAGGGTCAAGTTGGGGGAAGAGCCAGCAGGCCAGAGCCAATGGGGAGAAGGCCCATATTTGCACACAGGGACCTGCAAATCCCTGGGGCCCTGACACCACTCCTTCACTCCTCCACTCCCCGAGCCCAGCCATAAAAAGCCGCAGGTGAGGGCCTCGCCATTTCTTCAGCTGATCACAGTTGTCAGGCTAGTGTCTCCTGTTTCCTCCACCTGCCTGGCCATGACTTCCTACTATCGACAGTCGTCTGCCACCTCGTCCTTCGGGGCCCTGGGCAGCGGCTTTGGGACGCGCGGTACCTTCCGTGCGCCCAGCATCCACGGGGGCTCCGGTGGCCGCGGGGTGTCCGTGTCATCCGCTCGCTTCGTGTCCTCATCCTCTGGGGGATACGGCGGTGGCTATGGGGGCGTCCTGGCCGCGCCCGACGGGCTGCTGGCAGGCAACGAGAAGTTCACCATGCAGAACCTCAACGACCGCCTGGCCTCCTACCTGGAGAAGGTGCGCGCCCTGGAGGAGGCCAACGGGGACCTGGAGGTGAAGATCCGCGACTGGTACCAGAAGCAGGGGCCCGGGCCCTCCCGGGACTACAGCCACTACTTCAAGATGATCGAGGACCTGCGGGAGCAGGTGGGCACCTGCCGGGACGGGCACCTGCCGTGGGGCGGCGGGGTGGCAGGCGGGCGGGCGGTGGCCAGGGAAACTCAGCCCTGCAGGCTGGGCGCGGGCGGGGGCGGGAAGGAGCCCGTTAGGACGTGGGAGGGATCGCGGGGCGGGGCAGGCGGGGGGGGGGCAGGGCGCGGTGGGGAGGTGCACGGCAGGACGGCGGGGCCACCGTGGGGAGGGGCGCGAAGTGCAGGGCTGGGTGGGCAGAGTAAGGGAGAAGGGGCGTCCATAGGAGGGACCGGGAAAGGCTGGAGAGAGGGGAGGAAGCAGGAGGGGGTCTGTGACGCCTAGGAAAGTGGGTGCAAGGGAGGAGGTAGGACGCGTCTGTGGGCTACCAAGTAGCTGAGGTCGTCAGAGGCGGTGGAGATGCGGGAGTTCGGTCCAGTCCACCTGGAGGCTGACTTGCCCCGGTTCATGAACTCCTCTCCTTTTCCGCTCCCAGCCCCTGTGTCCAGCCTTTGGAGTCTTTGGATTTCTGAGCTGTTTTCCATCACATGCAGGCTGACGTGCCTCCTGCCTGGTTCAGGGGACCATGCTGGGTCTCAGAGGTGTTCTGGGGAGGCCCCTGGGCAGGGAAGGGGTGGGATGTGGAAAGGAAGGATTTAGGCAGAAATCCCGCTTCTGATGGGGAGAATCAGGTAGGTGCAGCTGGCCTCTCTGACCTGCTGAGTGAGGAGTCCCAGGGGTCTGAGTCCCAGAATCCTGAGTCTTGTGAGACCATGGGTGGACTTGGTCGCCAACTACAGGGAAGAACTTGTAATGAATCAGGAGTCAATGGGACACTTACCAGTGTCTGATAATGCAGCTCCCCACAACTCCTAACTGGAGGTTTCCAGTGAGCCTCTCCATTTTAAGAGGCAGTAAATCACATGGGAAGAGATTGCCCGTCTTTCTCCTAAGGAGCAGCTGGTGGATTCGATCTACCAGACTTCGGGTTGATAGTGCAACTAAATATAGAATTTTATTTTATTTTTTGCTCACCTGCATTTATTCTTTCTCCTACACAAAATGGAAGCAAACATCCTTGGAACAATTTTTACTTGATGGTGGGCGATATCTTGTGATATTTTGTATTTCCTACTCCTTTTCTTTAAAAAGCTAATGCAGAAAAGAAATTCTCCCAACCTCCCCCCTCCCTGATCCTGATAACCTAAGTAATGAGTCATGATGGACTCATTGTAATCCAAATATCTGAGGACCCAAGTCAATGATAGTCTAGTTGATGATCCAAGTCAGAGAGAGTTGGAGTCAGTTTTCACCCTGACATTTTACTAGTAGGATGAATTTACACAATGCACCTTGAACTTCAGTTTCCTTTTCTTTAGGAGTATCCCCTCAGTTGGCAATGAAGTTTCATATTCTAAAAGATGAGGTGCAGAGTACCCAAGGCTGTGCTGTTGTTGTGGGGTGCTGTCAAGTTGGAACTGATCCACAGCTGACCCTCTGGCACGTTTTCAGAGGCAGAAAACCGCATGTGAGGAGATTGCTCATCCTTCTCCCACGGAGCTGATGGATTCAAACCATGTGCTTTTGAAATTGTGGGGCAGCTTCTTACAACTAGACCCTTCCTCTCCAGAGCTCCCTTAGGGTATAGGGGATGCTTAAAAAAAATAGAGGTTTTTTTTCCCCCCCTTTTTTCTTTTCTGTGAGGGCAGAGGGAGCTTTAAGGAGGGAGTGCTTCTCTTGTCTCTGTGGCCCCCCCCCCCCCATCTCTAGTGGCTGCTTCTCTTAAGGTCACAGAAGGACCGGGCACAGGCCTGGCAGACTCTCCTCAGGTTTTCCAGCCCTGTTGTATATATACCTCCCTCATGGCCAACCTCTGTCTCCCAAGCAGCATGTTCTCTGGGCTGGTTCCCAGCCATCCAGTAAGCAAGGTGATGGGCAGTAGAGGCTCTGGTGTCTAGGGAATGAGGGCGTATTCATTTGCTCGTCACCTCTGAGGAGAAGGTGAGTGGTCAATGTCTGCATACTGAACTGGTTCCAATCTCCTGCCTTCCAGATTCTTGGTGCCACCATTGAGAACTCCCGGGTTGTCCTTCAGATTGACAACGCCCGTCTGGCTGCTGATGACTTCCGGACCAAGTGAGTCAGTGCTGTGGGCTGCTGGGAGCCCAGAGCAGGGGGAGGGTCAACCCTAGGACTGTGTGGGCTCCGTGCAGTGGGAATCTGGACTCTACCTCATCCATCCCATTGGCCTGAAGAAAATCTTCACATGGATTCCTGGACTCTGGGGTGGTGGAGAAGCCCTGGAGGTAAACTAATGTAATGACCATTGTTCTCCTGAAAGGTTTGAGACAGAGCAGGCTCTGCGCATGAGCGTGGAGGCCGACATCAATGGCCTGCGTAGGGTGCTGGATGAGCTGACCCTGGCCAGAGCCGACCTGGAGATGCAGATCGAGAGCCTGAAGGAGGAGCTGGCTTTCCTCAAGAAGAACCACGAGGAGGTGAGTCTCAGGTGGCATCCTCCCATCTGGCCCCAGTTTCCAGCGCAAAGGACATTTTTCTCCTTTTCCTGGTTCCTCTCTGACCCTGGCCATACTCATTGCACACTCTGCATGGCTCCTGGGGTTTTGGCAGGGAATCCTGGTGACTCAGTTTCTCCCACAGGGCTGAATTCTAGCTCTGCATCTGAGAGTCCGTCCCATCTGGTCTGCAGTGAGCTGTGGGGAGGAAGGTAACTGGGCCCTGGCCCAGCATGCCCTGGGTCCTGACATGTCCAGATCTGCTGTCTTTTCAGGAAGTCAGTGTCCTGAGAGGCCAAGTAGGTGGCCAGGTGAGCGTGGAAGTGGATTCTGCACCAGGCAACGACCTAACCAAGATCCTGAATGATATGAGAAGCCAATATGAGGTCATGGCTGAGAAGAACCGGAAGGATGTTGAAGCCTGGTTTATCAGCCGGGTATGGAGGGAAAGCTGGCACCCTTTGGGGAGGGGGCAAGGAGAGAGAGGGCTTGGTGCCCGCAGCTACAGTTCCACAGGGGATGCTTATTTTTTCTTGCTCTCGTTGCAGACTGAGGAGCTGAACCGAGAGGTTGCAGGACACACTGAGCAGCTCGAAGTCAGCAAGACGGAGATCAAGGATCTGCAGCGAACCCTCCAGGGTCTGGAGATAGAGTTACAGTCGCAGCTGAGCATGGTATGTGCCCTGCCCCTCTGGGACCCGGGTAGGGGTCCGTGTCCTCACTGGGGACCAGGCTCTGCTGAGTCACAGCCCTTCTTCTCTTACCCTCAGAAAGTTGCTCTGGAAAACACACTGGCAGAGACAGAGGCCCGCTATGGGGCCCAGCTGGCACAGAAACAGGCGTTGATCAGCAGTATTGAGGCCCAGCTGAGCGACGTGCGTACTGACGCTGAGCGGCAGAATCAGGAGTACCAGCAGCTCATGAACATCAAGTCGCGGCTGGAGCAGGAGATCGCCACCTACCGCAGCCTGCTGGAGGGCCAGGACGCCCACTAACAACACCCAGGCTCCGGTGCTGGGCTTCTGCACTCCTGCAGAGGGGGGTCCCCTGGGTGTGGAAGGGAGGGACCTTAACCCTATCTCTCCCCAATAAAACTTTATGGCCCAAGGGAGGAGGGATGTTTGGTTTTGTGCCTATCAGTCCATGAGAAGGTGTCAGACTTTGAGTCTTTTTAGGTTTTATATGGCCCAAAGTTCACTCTACCCCAGAAAAAGGAAGAATACTCAACATTACTAGACCACACTCTTCCCAGCCCCTCTCTGTGATTCCCATTTCCATCAATCCATCTTTTTACCCTTTCCTGCTTTCTGAGCTTTATCCTTGGGCAAATATTGCCCTTTTGACCTTATATGGTTGGTTATTCTAAGGAGTGAATACCTCTCTGGTGTTCACGTTCACTTTATAGGTCTGGCTATTGTTTGGTTACAAGTTGAATCATAGGAGTGAATTTTATTCCACCTGTGAAGAGTGATTAAGGGATAGTTGTTAGTTGTTAGGTGTCATCAAGTTGAGTATGACACATAGTGATCCTATGAACAAAAGATCTGAACCCTGTTCTATCCTGTGCCATCCTCTATAAGGGATAGAGTTTTGAGAATTCCACTAGTATTTTTTGCTTGGTTCAGTAAACCAAACCCAACCTGATGTGATGGATTTGATATCAATTCACAACGACCCTCCACTGGGTTTCTGAGCATGTGAATCTTTAGGGGAGGAAACCACCCATCTTTCTTCAAGGGGAGTGGCTGGGGGGTTCAAACCACTAATCCGGTTAGCAACCAGACACCTTATGCATGAGGCCCAATTGTTGTAGTTTGTGGTTATGTGCCCTCGAGTCGTTTGCGACTCATAGTGACCTTATGTACAACAGCCCTAAACCCTGCTCTATCCTGTGCCAATCTCATTGCCTTTGACATACCCATCCCCATTACCCCAGTCACTAAATCAATCCACCTCATAGAGGGTCTTCCCCTCCTGCTGTCCCTCCACCCTGCCCAGCATGATGTCCCTCTCCAAAGACCTGTCTCTCCTTACAACATGTCCAAAGTATGTCAGGCGAAGCCCAGAATCCTTGCCTCCAAGGAGCAGCCTGGTTTAACCCTCTCTACGATGAATCTGTTTTCTTGACAGTCCATGGCACATTCAATACTCTTCTCCAGCACCACAGCTCAAAGGTGTCAATTCTCCTGTCCTCCCTAGTCATTGTCCAACTCTCTAATGCATAACAAGTGATTGCAAAAACCATGGCCTGTATCAGGTGCACCTTAGTCTCCAGAGAGACACCATTGCTCTTGAGTACTTTGGAGAGGTCACTAACAGCAGACTTTCCCATCGCAATATGTTTTTTTATTTCCTGGCTACTGGTGCCAAGAGTGTTGACCGTGGAGCCGAGCAAACTGAAGCTGTGAACAATCTCAATCTCTTCACCATCCATCCTGATGCTACTGATTGGTCCAGTGGTGAGAATTTTTGTCTTCTTGACATTGAGCCTCATTCCATATTGAAGGCTGCAGTCCTTGACCCTCTGCAGTAAGTGCATGAGGTCCTCCTCAGTTTCAGCGAGCAGGGTTGTGTCATCTGCATAACACAGATTGTTGATAGATCGTCCACCAATCCTAACGCCATGCTTCTCATAGAGCCCAGCTTCTTGGATAATCTGCTCTGCATACTTAGTTTGGTCATTTCTATGTTTTTTAACTTTAGTTTACTGTTTTTTGCCCATTCTCTCTGGGATCTTCTGTGATTCCCTTTTAGAGTGGTCAGCAGTGGTAGTGGGGCACCATCTAGTTCTTCTGGTCTCAGGGTTGTGGAGGTTGAGGTCCCCAAGGTTCATTAGTCCTTGATCTAATTGTTTCTACACATCTTTACTTTGTTCCCTCTGTTCCATACAGGGGAACAAAGCACAAATAATAGTTGCGTCTCAGATGAGTGCTCACAAATTATTAAGACCTTAGTTGCTACTCACCAGATAGTACATATGTAGAACATTGTAGACTATGTTAAGGCAATTGATCTGTTTTCCCAAGATCCTAGGGTCAGCAACTCATCCGTTCAGGGTGGTGGCTATGATGAAACGGTTCCATGACTGGCTCCTGTTGACTAAAGGAGCTTTCATTTCTCTAACCTGTTCCTTACATAGGAACCCTGCAATAAGTCTTGCTTCCTTTTTACAGATGGAAAAACAAACTCAGAAAGGTGAAGTGGTTGGTTGTATTTGTAACTAACAAGTGGCAAAGCTGGGATGTGTGTAGAATGAATTTATTGAATGTCTACTATGCACTAGAAGTCAAGAAAACAAGAGATATATTGCATTAGGCAATTCCACTGTCAGGAACATCTCTAAAATTATTGAAGAGCAACGATGTCAGCTTGAAACTAAGGTGCACTTGATTCAGGCTGTGGTCTTTTCGATCACCTGCCACATATCAGAGCAGGACAATGAACAAGGATGACAGAAGAAGAATTGATGCCTTTGAGTTATGGTGCTGGAGAAGAATGTTAAATATCCCATGGACTGTCAAAAGAATATCTTGGAGAAAGTGCAGCTGGGGTGCACCTTGGAGGCCAAGATGGTGAAGCTTCATCTCTCAAGACTATTCTTTGGAAAGGGACATCATGGTAAGAAAGATAGAGGGGTCATGGAGGAGAGGAAGACTCCCAGTGAGATAGATTGATACAATCACTTCAACAATGGGCTCTAGTTTGTCAGAGATGGTGAGGTTGACACAGGATAGAGCAGGGTTCAGGATTGTTGTTCATAGGGCCACTATGAGTGGTACTTGACTCCATGGGACCTAACCACAACCACGTGCCATATAGTTATAACAACTTTTAAAGGCAGTTAGTATGAGCTGCAGCTTACAGACCAGGAAACAGTCTCAGGGAGAAAGAGTAACAGCCACAGAATGAGTCCAGATGTCCTGCTTCTTAGCCACTGTCACCCCTGCCCAGATGATCTTCTAGGGTTGATACCACTAATGCCAATTTGCTGAGTACATGCCACTTTTGTTCTCTGTGAGAGATCAGGGCTGGGGCTCCCTGGGACCATCCCCCCCGCCATGGTTTTTTTCCACTTAGGAATTGGGGCTTTGGTTGGAGCCTAAGGAGTGGAGGCAGACTTGCTGCTCTGAGCAAGCTGGAGAGGGAGTCCCTGTCAGCGGCATGTGCGATGTGCAGGCACTAACGCATTTATCCACGGGGCAGCCCTCTGTAAGCCCCTGACGCCCACCAGCACATACCTGGGTCCATAGCCAGGAATGGGACCCAGCTGTGACCCGGACCTCCCACACAGACCCCAACTTAAGCTTGCCTAGGGCCTCCCTGGATCCACAAAGGAACACAAGTCCCAGCTTCCTGGTACGACTCTGCCCTTGGGTGGGTATGGTCCTGTCCTGCGGTTTACAGTTCAGCTGCCAAGTTCTGGGGCCAATGAAATGTAAATAGGAGCTCACAGGCAAGTCCCGCTTCCCCCCAGGCGGTTGGGTTGAGGCTGAGTCAGAGCTCTCTGGGAGTGCAGGTCATTCCTGTGAGGGAGGGGATAAGGGAGGGATGCCAGTGCCACTTCCTTGTCCCTCACAGGGGGCTGTTAAGGGTCTCCCCTCTGAGCTTGAATCTGTGCTGCTGTGTGTGCCCAGCAAAGCAGAGGAGGCCTGTGATCCTGTCACAAACATGCTCAGTCTCTCAGCGTTCATTCGGAATCACATGGTGAGGGTCAGATAGGAACTCATGATGCTAGAACCTGATCCTTCCTCTGTCTGCCAGCCCAGGGGTTCCTTCTTCCCACTGAGGAATTCTCACATCCCCTGTGCTAGCCTCCAGCACCTCAAGCCTCCCTTTCTCACCTAAGTTCCCAGAAAGCCCTAGGACTGCAGGCCCGAGTTCTGTCTACCACACCCTCAGCCTGGGACTGCTTGGAGGCACTTATCCCTTGCCCATGAAAGCCTCCCTTGTCCGTCGTCACAGCTGAACCCCTTTCTCCGTGACCTGAGGGCCCCCGGGATGTGGCTACAGGGCAGGGTCTGAGCCCACACAGGTGGGACAGATGACTGGTCACAGGTCTGGGTGTCAGGGATGAAACCTGCCTAGTGTGCACTGTAGAGTGAGGGTGGGGACACATTTCTGTCTTAGCCTAAAAGTCTGGGGAGACGAAGCTGGGGGCCCTTTGATCAAAGCCTGGCCCAGACCAGGGAGGCTGGCGTGGGTATTTCCCAGGCTGGTCATCATGATTACTTGGCAGTTTGCAAAGCGTTTCTTCTTGGTCATCTCCCTCCATCCCTGGGTATCAGGTTGGGTTGGACTTACGGTAATTTCTTTCATAGATTGAAACGCAAACTACATAGCTAATGAATGAGAAAGGTGGAATTTGAGGGTAAATTTCTACAACTCAGGCCATAGACTCTAAATCTAGGGCCTCTCCTCAGGGAGTGGAGGGGTCTGAGGGAGAATGTTTACCACCATGGTGCAACAGTTAAACATTTGGCTGCTGAATGAAGGATTGCCAGTGATTTGAACCCATGTAGTGGCTCTGTGGAAGAAAGACTTGATTGCTTCTCTGAGGATTAGAGAACTTATAGGGACGTGCTGCTCTTTCACGTGGTTGTTGTTTATTGTTTATTGCTGTCGAGTCGAGCACGACTCATAGTGACTCTACGAACAAAAGACCGAATGCTTTTTCACAACTGTTGTCAACTCACCAATTTCATAGAGTTTCCAGAGGCATGTGGTTTAGGAAGTGGATGCCTCTCCTGCTTCCCAACCTGTTTTACAACTGGGAGCTCCACCAAACACTGTCCACATTGGGAAGCCATTCTGGTATTCTTTCACATGGGGCTGCTGTGAATTGGAAATCACCTGATGACACCTAATAAATACCACTACCTTCCCTCTCACATTGCACGGAATGCTCACACGGTCTCCTAGCTGGAGTTGGTTTTTCAGGGCCCAGTTTTAAGTCAGGAACCAGGCTCAGAGAGGTTGAGTCACAACCCAAGGTGGAACCCAGTCCTCTTTGCACTGGACTGTACTACCGTATCTCGAAGAGGGAAGACCCAGTGCCAGAGACAGGCTGTCTGACTGCAGCGGGCATGGGACAGAAACTGGCATGGGATCCTGGTTGAAATTTTCAGGGCAGGGCCTGGGGCGGCAGCTTGGGCCAGGGCCAAACCACCCGCCATGGCTGCCTGGTGCTAATGAGCAAGTCTAAGGCTCCACCCAGACCTTGAGCTCAAGACCTTGGTTTGGATGAGAAGTGAAAAATTGCAACTGGGGCTGTGAGGTGACAGCTTCTGTGTCCCTGTGTGGGTCCTGAGTGTAGGGAGGCCACATGAAGGGGTGGCTGAAGGACAGTCAAGGTACAGAGGAGGGACTGGCCAGAATCCAGCTCTTCTTAACCCAGGGGTGGTGGCGAGTAATTGCCCATGTTAATTGCTGGGGCCGTAATGTCTGCATAGGTTTTAATGAGCTCTGGCAGATTCTAAGCTTGATTATTTTTCTTTCGGAGCAAAAGACAATAGCCTTCCACCCAGGAACACAATACGGCTCTGTCTGGGCCCCACACTGCAGAGCCCACAACCAAAAGATGAATGAGGAGGGGCCCACTCCTCCCAGCCACTGCAGCGTACACCTGCACCCCTTACCTCCAGCTCACACACAGGAATCTGGGGGCTGTGAAGTGACCCTCTATTTCTGCCTTATCTTCAGCTGAAAGCTCTCTGAGTCCTACTGCTGTATCTTTGATGCTGTGCCACTTTGCACCAATCACATCACCTCTCTGAACCCCCTCCTTTTGCAAGAAGGAAAGGAATATCTTCTGGTTCTTGTGGATTAGAGGAGACCATGGACTCACGAAAGCTTCGTAAACTACCAAATGGAAGCCAGGAACTACACTTAACAGAGCAATAATAACAACACTCGACATTACCCATTGAGATGGCTTGACACAGCAGCTGTCAATGCGCTCCAGCATAGTAACCGTCGTGGGGATGGCGTGGGGCTCGGCAGAGCTTTGTTCTGTTTGTACATAGGATCACTGAGTCAAAACTGACTTGATGGTTCCTAATCGTAACTGGCTATGGGAGAGGTGCTGGTGAGGTCCTTGGCTCACAGGATTAAATTCCTCCTGGCAAGAATATAAGGGAGTCAGCCACCCTTAGATGGACCTGGACATGCACCCCACCATCTAGCCTCTCAGAGGAGGAGGCAGGAAGGGGCTTCAGGGCTTCCTTGTAAATGGGCTCTGAGGCTCACCTTGCTGCAACTTTGGGCCAGGACTTCATCTTCCTGACTCTTCAGCCCACCTTGGCTCCTCTCCACCTTCCAGCTCCTGTGCCCCGCAGTGAGCGGCACTGTCTCTGTAGAGCAGGCACACAGCTGGTGGGCAGACAGCAGCGTCCCCCTGGGGAATGGATCCCCTCTCTTGCCTCAGTCTCCTGCCTTGTGAAGTAGTGCCTTGGCCTCTAAGCTCTCAGCAGTATCTCCTTTCTCCCCACAACGCTCAGGTACATAGAACCTTCTGGGTTAGCCCTTCCCCCGCCCTGCAGCACTTGACAGATAAACAGGGGTTAATCTGGCCCTGCAAAGCAGGGACATGCCTCTTCCAGAGAAGGCAGGGGCTTCTTGGAACTTGCCCCAGTCTTATCTGCAGAGGTTTGCCCCAACGTGTCCCCAGGAAAGCACAAGTTCAGTGACGTGTGGTTGGCAGGTAGCAGGATTATCCATCAATCACTTGTCAGCTCTGAGCCCGCTGGGCCTTTGTGAGCATGCCAGTGTCATGGGGCTGGGGCTGCAGCGTGGGGGTGGGGGCAGGGAGACTGCAGAAAGCAAGTGGGGGGTGGGTGAGGGAGGGAAGTGTAGAGTTGGGGAAATCCATTTGCAGCATCTGGGAAGGAATAAGTGTTGGTCTTTCTGGTTATCCCAGCTGGACCTTGACCCAGATTGCTGTCCCGTCCTCATCCTGCTGCTCCATGTCCTGTATTCTTCCTCTGCCTCTGTTCACTGGTCTTGGGGACCCTCCCTTCTGTCTCTAGCACAGTAGGCTCGTGCACAAGGTTGTGAGGGGGAGAACACAGAGAAGCAATGAGAACTTGGATCCCTAGAGAGAGGGTTTCATCCTTCATGGGGTGATGGTCATGGGCTAGGGGGCAGAGGAGAAACCCAGCCAAGGGCATAGATGGTCTGAGCTGTTCTAACAGTCTGGGCAGACGCCGTGGTAGGCGTGGGTCGTGAGCACACACTGCCACTCTGTTTGCTCTCTAGTGCAGAGACAAACCCGTAATCCAAGTGTTAAAACTGTGGCCCTGGGGCAAGGCACCTTAATTCTGAATCATCCCTTTTGTTGCATTAAAAAAAAATAAAGAAGAAGAAAAACTTTGCAGCAGCACTGTGGAGGTGTGCAGGCAGCTGTGTTTGTCAGGAATGCAGGAGTTGGCTTCCCTCTGGGGGAGGAGACATGGTCCCACAGCAGCCTGCAGAGGATATAAGGCGCCCGGGCGTGGGGAGCCAGGGGCAGTGCTCAGGTCTTGCCTGGCCCTGCATTTTCTGCTGGTCCTCTGCGCTTGCCCAGAGCTCCCCAGCATCCCAGCCTCGCCATGAGCACCACATTTCTGCAGACTTCATCCTCCACCTTTGGGGGTGGCTCTACCCGGGGGGCTTCCCTCCGGGGAGGGAGTCTCTATGGGGGAGGTGGAGGCAGAAGCGTCTCAGCTTCTTCTGCTAGATTTGTCTCCTCAGGGTCAGGAGGGGGATATGGGGGCGCCATGAGCTGTGGCTTTGGTGGAGGGGCTGGTGGTGGCTTTGGTGGTGGCTTTGGGGGTGGCCTTGGGGGTGGCTTTGGTGGAGGTGTTGGAGGTGGCTTTGGCGACTTTGGTGGTGGTGATGGTGGCCTTCTCTCTGGCAATGAGAAGTTTACCATGCAGAACCTCAACGACCGGCTGGCCTCCTACCTGGACAAGGTGCGCGCCCTGGAGGAGGCCAACACCGAGCTGGAGGCGAAGATCCGGGACTGGTACCAGAAGCAGAGCCCGACCAGCCCGGATCACGATTACAGCCACTACTTCAAGATCATCGAAGAGATCCGGGATAAGGTGAGTCTTTGATGCTAGAGAGAGGAGAGCAGGTGGGCAGTGCCTTGCACAGGTGTCTGAGGACAGGATTCCCGGTGACTTGAAGGAATCTCTCTTGCCCAGGCAATGACTGTCTGGTGTGTAACCTTGGTAAACTTGGAACGAAGGGGAATGCTTTCCAGGTGTGGATGCTGGTAGATACCTGCTTGACTTGGCAATGTCAGAGAGATCTTGGGACTCTGGCTAAAACCAAAGGGGGCCCAGGAGCGGGGAATGATGGAGAAAAACTCCCATGCCACTCTGCCTGCACGGTTCTGCATAAAGTGCTCTGTGACTTCTTAGCAAGAATGGAGCCTTATGTCCCTAAATGCCAAGGTCTCCTGTTTTGTCTAAGGAATAAGTGTTGGAAGAACTGTCTGGACTTAGGGAACCTGGGGCTTTGCTGCCCACTCATTCACTTGTTCACTATCTGGAACCTGCTCCCATCTACACAAAACACCTTCCATAACTGCCCTCCAGGTTCTCACTGGAGGCCACACCAGTGTTGTGCAGATCCATGGCTGTGCCAAAGTCTGTAGACCGTTAACTGCGCCTGCAGGAGGCTCTGGCAAGGGTTATTAGTAAGAGCCTAGGGCAATTCTCGCGGGCATTCCAGGCAATACCACTCCTTGGTCTTTCAGGTCTTGGAGACAGTGAGGACAACCTCTCAGCTGTCCCAGGGAGGGTGGCATGGGGCCAGACGAGTAATGGATACTCCGGGTGGGCTGAACTCTGCCACAGGGTCTTGCAGGCTTCACTTCAGTAGGTGGTGTCAGGAGGAGAGTCTTGGTGAGGGCTCTAATTTTGGAAGGAAGAGCAGAGCAGCAGCAGAGAGGAAGAAAGGAGCCCTCTGGTCACCAACTGCCCATCTTCTGCAGATCCTGGCAGCCACCATTGACAACTCCCGTGTCATCCTGGAGATCGACAATGCCAGGCTAGCAGCGGATGACTTTAGACTCAAGTGAGCTCCTGCCTGCCTCTCCTCGTCCTGCAGCCTCTCTTCCTATCCAGCTCCTGAGCCAAAGAGCCCAGCTGGACTCCTCTCCCGCTGTCCTTTTGACTCCCCCTCTTCCCAGGTATGAGAACGAGCTGGCCCTGCGCCAAAGCGTGGAGGCTGACATCAACGGCCTGCGCAGGGTGCTGGACGAGCTGACCCTGGCCAGAGCCGACCTGGAGATGCAGATCGAGAGCCTGAATGAGGAGCTGGCCTACCTGAAGAAGAACCATGAGGAGGTGTGGGCAGAGCAGGGGAGCGAGGGTGATGGAAGCAGAGTGGGTGGCTGGTATTTCTTTCTTCATGGTTGATCGAAGGGCTTAGTGCCTTAGAAGTGCTTCTTCAAGACACACCAAAAATCAAGGGTCTTCATGGAGTGGGAGGCGCTGCATTACGAAGCATATTCTAATGGACCCAGAGGGGTCTTCTCTGACCCTCAGCAAGGCAGGATGGCCAGAGTGGACTGCTGGTTTGCTTCAACGAGCTTGCACAGAGTTCTCTGCACCGGCTCCTCCCATGCTAGGACTTAGAGCAGAAGAGAGACTCGGAGCTGAGAGGTTATGCAATCAAGCTTTCATCCACTCATCAGTCAGTTAGTTTCAATCAATGAGAATCAGGAACCCTGAGGGTGAGTGGTAGGCAAGGTGACATGGTGGATTAGGGGCAGAGCCAACACAGACACACAGAGCCCAGACCCTCAGCTCTCTCTTTTGCTCTCTCTCTTTTTAAATGAGCTTTTTGTACTTGTAGGAGATGAAGGAGTATGGCGGCCAGCTGGCGGGCCAGGTCAACGTGGAGATGGACGCAGCACCAGGCGTGGACCTGACCCGAGTGTTGGCTGAGATGCGGGAGCAGTATGAGGCCATGGCAGAGAAGAATCGTCGGGACGTCGAGGCCTGGTTCTTCAGCAAGGTGGGCTGGCCTCTGGCTTCAATCTCACTCCCCAGGTTTCTGTCAGGGCCCCAAGGCTGACTCTTCCTGTGGGTGATTTACAGACGGAGGAGCTGAACAAGGAGGTGGCATCCAACACGGAGATGATCCAGACCAGCAAGACAGAGATCACAGACCTGCGACGTACTCTCCAGGGGCTAGAGATTGAGCTGCAGTCCCAGCTCAGCATGGTAGGGTCACCCCCCCTGCACCCTGGCCTCTCCGGGCATGGCAGGCACTCCAGCCATCTGTGTCTGGTTAAGCATTTGGGGTTCTTAAGCCTTTTGAGGGTTGGTGTCCTGCTCTGCACTCAGCCCTTCTCTTCTCATTGCCTTGACTAGATTCAATTCTGCCTAATATATCTATTCACCTGTTGTCCTCCCAGAAAGCGGGCCTGGAGAATTCCCTGGCAGAGACAGAATGCCGCTATGCTACGCAGTTACAGCAGATCCAGGGGATTATCAGCAGCCTGGAGACCCAGCTGAGTGATCTCCGCTGTGAGATGGAGAATCAGAACCAGGAGTACAAGATGCTGCTGGACATCAAGACACGGCTGGAGCAGGAGATCGCCACCTACCGCAGCCTGCTCGAGGGCCAGGATGCCAAGTGCGTTCATGGGACCGGGCGGGGAGGAGGCTGGAAGCCAGGGGCTGGGCTGTGGCTGGGTGGAGATGCATATCAAAGGTACAGCTGAGCGGTTCCCAAGTTGTAGAGGGGTATATGCAAAGAGAACTGAGTGTGGGGTAAAGAGTTCTGGACTCTGACCCTTGGCTGTGTCACCTAGGGCAGGTCATGGCATCTGTCTGGACCCATGTTTCTTCTGACGAGGGTAGAGGCTGAGCTAGAGGTCTCTAACTTTTAACACTGCTTCCATTTTCTACATGACGTAGATGGAGCGTTAGAACCAGAATCTGTCTACTTGGGGAGGGCGAGCTTGGAAGGGCTATTTGGATGTCCTAGCTCTAGAGGTGTTCGTCATAGGGTGGCAATGGTGGTGGTGATGGTGTGGAAACTGAGGACAGCCACTGAGCTGCCCATTGGGCCTCCATGAAGGAGACCTGAGGTCTTTCACCTTTTCGATTACGTTTGCTTCGCTCTTTCAGGCTGGTTGGCTTCGGCACCAGGGAAGGTAAGAAGGCTTCACTCTCCTATCAGGGAAGAGGGCACAGTTGAAGCTCCAGTCATTCCTCTTGGACACAGGATGATAGAGGAAGAGACCGAACATTCCATTGGGTGGGGATCCTCCCATTTGAGCTGACATCACTTCCACAGAAGGACCGTGTGCTGGTCCCAGGTGGAGACACGGTCAAACATGTATTGTTTTTCCTGTCTCTCCCTCAGCCCCTACCTTTCATGCATGCACTGTTTAAGATAATCCTTTGTTTATACACAGCTTAAAAAAAACCCTGCCATTACTGCCCACTGTTGGGCCTACCTGTCGCCAGGTATACCTGCAGACGCCACTGCTCATCTCTTTGATGTCTAACTCAGCACCAGGCTTCTTGACCAGCGGTCATTCTCAGGGGTGCTGTTGAGGTTTCCTAAGACTTAGGCAGGGTCCTGGGCACTTAGAGAGATGGACGGGGAGGCATCTCCTTCTAAAATGTGCTCCTTCTTTCTGTAGCTTCCCTGGGAGGTGGTGGCGGAGGCAGCAGCAGCAGCAAAGTCCGCATCAACGTAGAGGAATCGGTGGATGGGAAGATTGTGTCTTCCCACAAGAGAGAAATCTAAGTGCCCAGCGCAGGAGAAAGGTCCCTCGCCACTCACCCTTCCCAAGTGGGGCCAAGGATGGGTCCAAGAGACTGGAAAAGCCCACGCCGTCCCTGCTTTCAGAGAGGACCTGTTGCAGAGGGTCTCTCTGCCTGCTAGTTTGGGGCTTTGCATTCTAGCTCACCCCCTCACTCACCCCCTGCCTCCCCAGAGCGAGAAGCGGAAAAAAGCGTATTGTGTAACCAGCTCGTTTGCAAGGTGTCTATTGATGCAATAAAAGCTTATTGTGTCTTTTGCAAATATCTTTTGGTGTGGTGCATTTGGGGTATTTTTTTTTAATTGGAGTCCAGGTTGGTGTCTGACCTCTGACGAGACCCAGGGCCCCCAACTTTGACGTCTTCCGTGAATGGTCACAATTCATCTTTTGGTATGTGCAGGGACAAACCCAAGGCTGAGTGGGTGAACTAGATGATCTGGCTCACCCCGAAGGGTGACAGTGGGACTGGATGGGACATGGGGCCTCCCTTGGAGCAATCTGGGCCTCTAGCACTGCGCCACTAGCTGGTGAGAAAGAGTAAATGTTCTCCTAAAGGAAAGGTTGATGGTTCAGACTCACCCAAAGATGTCTTTGAAGTCAAAGTCACAGCCTTGAAAACTGTGTGGGGTGCAGCTTTATTTTTTACACACGGGGTCACCACGAGTTAAAATTGATGGATGGTATAAAATTTTACACATTGTAAAGCATTTAAGGAATGATTTGCCACCATATGGTGACTGGCACTGTGCTAGACGCTCTCTGTCACCTCCTGTGCCCCACCTGTCTTATCTGATTCTCATGACTAAGGGAATCAGGATTTATTATTCCTGTCTTAGAGATGAGAAAACAGAACAAACTCTGTCTGATCTCATTTACACAAAATATCTAGAATTCGCAAGTATATAGAGAGCAAAGTGTGTTAATGGTTATCGCGGGAGGGTGACAGGGCCTCCTGAGCATCTGTTAAGGGTGATGGAAAAATGTGGAGACATAACGGTGTTGATTGCACAACATGATGGACAAGAGTAAGGGCACTGAACATGGCTAGGATATTGGAGTCGACTCCATGGCAACTGGCAATGGACAAAGAATGTTGAAATGGCAAATGTTTGGTTACAAATATATTTACTATAATGGTAATACCCAAAACTCCTTAAACTCACTGCTCATCAATCATCAATTCATAGCTGCCCCTTCAGACAGTTTTTGGAGCCTGGGAGGAGGTTGCCCTTTTTTCTTTTTTCTTTTCCTGTGGAGCTGCTGTTGGATTCGAACTGCCACAGAGGTACGATCTTTGGAGTGGCAGCACAATGCTCAAGGACTACACCACCAGGGCTTCCTGAAAGAATAATAATAACAACTATGTTGTTGTGCACCCATAGCTGACCCTCTGGTGGGTTTTTAGTTATTCCAACAAGAGGAGATTGCCCATCTTTCTCCTGCGGAGCAGATGGTGGCCTTGAACTGCGTGCCTTTGGGATTACAGAGCAGCTTCTTGCCACTAGGCCACCAGAGCTCCTGAATAATAACTCTGCCAAACAAACAAACAAACACACCTGAAGTCAGACAGATCTATTTTTATTTATTTATTGTTCTTTTAGGATGTGTCAATATTCAGGATGAACTATTTGCCTGCTGGACTCACAGGTAGTAAATGGCAGGGGTGTGGCCGGATCCCTCCTCTGTGTGACCAGTTCTTTGTATGGCCTCTCCTTCTCTCTGCTCTGGTCTCTCTCTCAGTCTCTCACGTACCACATGAGCGGCTATATCTTCCCTGAATTCCAGCCAACCACACCCAACCTCCCGGCACTTCTGCTGAGCCAGCTCTCATGCTGTGTTCCGGCAGAAATGGATTCTTTTTAATAAAAATATCCCTGCAGCTAGTTATAATGACAGAACATTTTCCCTAAGCTTGGCTGACATGTATCAATATACCTACAGGGCTAAGACTCTATGCTAGTTTATTCTTTGAACCTTTTAATATGCTTCTGCCAGACCTGTTATTACAACCCAATTATAATGATGCTTTGAACCACGCGTTTTCACCTGCGTTCCTTGTGTAAGTAGCTGCCCAGGGTTTTTAACAGCAGCTGCTTTTTCCCCCGGTGTTTTGGCTACCATTTTGCAGTAATTAGCCTTTGTGAGCCTGCATCTACAAATTTTTGAGACTGTAGTAATTAAAGGAAAGAGGGAAAAAGAAGGGTTTCACTTCATTCCTAATAATATCATTGAATAGGGACAGTTTTACACAATTTTGTTTAATATTCATATAATTAAGAAATCTTACACTTGAACAATTTACAACTTCATTTATTATTCTGTGAATACAATTGATAATAAATCTTACTAAGAATTCTCTACGCCTGGTGTGGGAGGAGGGCCCTGAGGAGAGGGTGGCATCATAATTTACAGCACTAAGTGACACTATCTCAGAATATTGTCAGAATCCACCCAGAGGTGCCTTGGTGATTTGTTGCTGGAAGGTCACAGCCTTGGGAATGCTGTAGACGCCATCCCGGGCCCCCATGAATCTGAAGCAACTCGATGGGCAACTGACAAGAGCAAAGTTATCTGCGTTGGCATTTGAGGCTGCTGTGGAGGGCAATGAAATTCTTTCCTTAAGAGAGGTGCTGCTCTGAAAATCACCCTTTCACCTCCCTATGCAGTCAGTTCAAATGTCTAACAACTAAATCAGAAAAAAATGTCAGCTTTATCTCACATTTAACTTTAGTCTCTTAAAGAGCCCTGGTGACACAGTGGGATAAGCATTGGACAGCTAAATGAAGGACTGGTGATTTGAGCTCCCCAGCCACTCCCAGGAGGAAGGTGAGGCAAGTCAGCCCCTGTAAAGATTTCCCTGGCCTTGGAAACCCTAAGGGGCATTTCAACTCTGATAGCGGGAATTGACTCCAAGGCAGGGAGTAACTTATCTCTTATGCTGTAGTTGAAGCTCAAAGGGAAATCCACAGAGCTGTCATGTGGTCCACACCCCTTGGAAGCACCAAGCTCCTTCTGAGCCCTGTCAGTTCTGGTAGTCTGAGCTGTGGGCCCGATGGCTCCTCTGCCACTGGCTCTTTGAATATCAGAAGAGAAGTTTCCAGCTTTCTGCCGTTCATTTGTAAAAATAATCACCTCTGCAAGAGACTCCAGAGCTTGACTCTGAGACGATGATGGGAGGGGCAGCAGCGTCTATCTCCCCGGGACTCCTTTTCTGCTCTTCTGGTGTTCCTGGAAACGGACCCCTGGTGCCGTGGTGCATAGTGTGTCGGACTGCTAACTGCAAGGTCGGCAATTCAAATCCACCAGCCCCATTGTAGGAGGAAGGCGGGTGGCGTCCCCTCCTGCAGAGATTTACGGCCGTGGAAACCTAGTGCAGAGTCGCTATGAGTCGGAATCAACCCAGCCGCAGTGGGTTTGGTTTAGGTTCCTGGTGTCCCTGGAAGGACCGTCAGAGAGATCCGTGGAACTTGCCACATCCTGTCCTCTGCCTGACCTGGAGTGAGGTACTCACACCCAACCAGGGCTCGTACCTGGCTGAGTCCTAAAATAGACTCCCAGAGAGATGCCACACCTTCCGCCCCGCCCAGACAGGCGATCCAATCAGGAGGCAGCAGGCGAGGCCCCCAGAGAGAGGGTGGCTTTGGGTTTAGAGGTCAGGACCCTGGGTGTGTCCTCGCTCAGGTGGGGCTGGGCAGAGTGGGTGGGGATGGGGTGTGCCTGCCACTTTTTTTTTGCTGAAGATTTAGGCTGGTCTTTCTTTCTTTCTGGGACTCAGTTTCTCCCTATTTGATTAAGTACTGGCTCCCTGGGCTTCGGTGGCCAAATGACAAGAAGCTGTGCTGCAATCCTGAAGGCGGTTCGAGGCCACCGTCTGCTCTGCCGGGAGAAGGATGGACAATCTCCTGTGCGATTAATTATTTGCCTCTGAAAACCCTCTGGAAGATCAGCTATGGGTTGGTTCCTACTCTACGGTACACAACAACAACAACTGGCTGAATGGGATGTTCGCTAAGGTCTCTGTGAGGTGTTCTGTGTCCTAGCACCTGTAATAATAGGAACCTCTATCGAATGCCCTGGAAAAACAAAGCACAACAACCAACCTTTTTGACCCAGCCAGTCCTGACTCATTGCAGGGTAGAGCCTCTGCTGAGGGTTTTCTTGGCTGTCACCTTTATGGAAGCAGCTCCACAGGCCTGTCTTCTGAAATATCTGTGGGTGGGCTTGAACCTCCAGCATTCTTGTTAGTAGTCAAGCATTTAGCCATTTGTACCACCCAAGGCTTCTGAATCCCCCGAGAAAGTTGTGAATACATATTTGTTGAGTCAATGAATGACATGCTTCTTTGGTTTTTCCTGCCTTCCACATGGCCCTGATGATGTCATGTGATAAGCCTTGGGCTGCTAACTGAAAAAGGTTGATGGCTTGGACCTACCAGCCATTTGCTCCACAGGTTTAAGATGAGACGGTATACATCAATAAGGATTTCCAGTCTTGAAAATCCTATGGAGCAGTTCTATTTTGTCTTATGGATGGGTAATCTCCTCCTGTGAGTTTAATTGCCTCTGAAAACTACCCAGAAGGTCATCTGTGGGTCAGTTCCGACTCGATGGTTCACCACCACAGGGACAAAATGATTCAGAACGGATGCTATAACAGTGTTTTTTATAACATGGTTTTCAAAATATGACTCTGGACACTCACTTGCATCTTGGACATCTGTTGGTTGAGTTGTTCCTCCATGGGCAATTATCAGTGCAGGGAGAAGGGAAGAGCTGACAGTCTTTCTCTTGTAATTTGTAGCTGGGTAACCCCACTGGGTACCATCTGAATTTACTATTGCGTCTCATCTAAAGGCCGTGGACAGAGTGACTTTGAGACTGTCTCACGGGCACTTACTGAGGGTGTCACTGCATGGGAAGCATTGTTCAGGATAGTATATTTGATGAGACTCTATGCTCAGGGGACTGGAGATGAAGGGAAGGAG